ATTGTAAAAATATATAAAATATTAACTAAAATTTTTACAAATATATACAATATTAATTTAAATTAGTTATTTACATTTTTAAATACAATATGGAAAAAAGCATAAAGCTCTGCCAAATTAAACCTGAATTTATATTTGATTTGTTTTTATCCTGTAGATATCATATTCTTTCAAAGCAAATGGAATCCGTTCCTAGGGAAACAACATGCAGTAAGTAGAGAGAATGGAATGCATGCTGTCTTACTGAAGCGTAGATGCCTGCAAAAAAGAGCTGCGAGCTAGATGAGTAGAGATAGAACCTAATTTTTCTCAATCCTTTCAACCAGCCCCAATTTCCCCCATTGTTAAAAAATAAAAAAAATAAAAAAAAAAGACGGGGTGGGCGGGGGAAGAAGAAGATAGATACAACCATACAGGTTCAAACTTTCACCTGGCATGTAACCAACAAAAAAAACTATAGTACAGGGATGTGGAGACTATCAATTGATCTCATCATGCAGATTGAAATGACACCACAAATCAGTAGAATAATTTTTTGGATGAACAGTCGTAAACCAGGAGATCCTGTACATAATGGCCAAATGTTACAGAAGTCGTTTTTCATGGACACAATCACCTGAATTCTATTTCTATTCATAAAGAATGGCGGGACCCTCTCCTAAACTTCCTCCGGAAAGGCTTGCATGCTTCAATGCTGAGATCAACAGCAGCTGCAAGAGCCATGAAGATGGCAGCATCCTCCATGCATGTTACATGTCGCATGGCCAGTTGTACCAATGGCTTGCTTCTCTTCCCTTCCCCCTGGACTCTACAGTTCATTACAAAACCAGCACCAATTGGACTCAAAGCTGAGAAGTCTCCACTGCTTTGAGGACTTGGTATCGGAGTTACTGCAGTCCGCGTTTGTCTGTCTGTATCAATGAAAAACTCCCCACCCTTATCTGCATTAATAAGTACCTCTGACATCAGAAACTCTCCTCCATCTTGGCCTTCAGACAGGAGGTGGAATCGGCAGCAAACAGAGTCCCTAATTCCACGCTCACGCCAGGCCTCAAGCTTTCCCCATGGCAACCAACTCTCAGGCCTACAGGCATCTGGGTGAACAATCAACCAAACTCCTGGGTTTGACTTAGCAACCCAATCACAACCTGTAGATGGCACAAAGGGAGTTGTTATGAAGGCTGCTGCAACAGCTGACCCAGAGAGATCATGTATCTTCACCTTCCATCCCTTCCTCTCTCTTCTCTCCATTTCCATGTCTGAGAAGTAAGTGCTTAATGGGTCCACCTGTCCTACCCTGCCATTTCACAAACAAAAAGTTTCATTAACAATGAACAATAGAATGGAGCAAGAGCACACTTCTAAATTGATATAAAAAAGAACCCATATTACACAAAAAACCTAGAATCTTTTCAGTGAAATTTCAGTTTCTTTCCTTACTAGTTAGAGCATGAAAACCGGTTGTCATTTTGAAATTGATATGGTCAGAAGACATTTGCCAACGAAAAACCCATCCACCCAAAATTTATAACCTGATTTGACAAATTGAGTGAATATGTTAACATCCTATGTTACAACTTTCAGTACTTTTTGTTTTGGTTACAATTAAGTAGGTCCATGTTTTCAACATTACTATTTTTCCTTATGCAAACCCAGTATACCTCTTTAAGAGCCAGCTAAAAAGTCCAAATCTACTACGGCAATACAGACGCTGATTCTCTTCAAAAGTATAATGAATGCAAGAAAATTATACAAGTACGTCACCTGTCTCGACTAAATTTGCAACTAAAAATTGGCTGTTTGATGGAGCCTTGAAGCTGAACTATCTGAGGGCTCAATGTAGTCACATCCTCAAACTGGAATACATATCTTGGATCAGGATCTAGTTTTACTCTCAAATGAAGTTCCACTTCTGGCTTACCATTCTCATGTTTGTTTTTGCCAATACCCATCCACCCATTGAAAAGGGTAACTGGCTTTCCTTCACCCCATTCAGGACCCACATCCAATTTAAAAGTTCCGATCTGCTGTTTTTTGAGTCCACGACCACAATATAACCCCTTTCTCCCTATGAAAACTGTGATCTCCAAACAGGCATAAGAACTGTAGAAACAACCAGGTGTCAATAATGCTTTCACATCAGCTTCTTCAAGATAAAAGCTAGATGCAATGCTGTGAATATCAGGGGTGGCTTCAGGTGAGGACACTAGTGGAACTGATGTTGTTTGAACAGGGAAACCTCGAAGTCGTATCTCACAGGAACAGGTGGAGGAGAATGCATTAGCTCCAAATTTTGAGCAATTTAAAGCTGATGTGCTAATCCTCAGACCCAGTGAGCCTATTGACAACCTGGTAAAAGCCTGAGGATCCATTCTTGTCAGAAATATTTCCTCATCATTTGAAAAGCTTTAGGCTTATAGCAGCTCAACAATCCTGTCACACCAGTAAGAAGGTAAACAATAGGTTATTAAAAAACTCAGAAGCATATCATGGAAAACCATTAGCCTGTGTAGGTGAAAGGGAGCACGTGTTCTGTTAAAATCTGATTTTTCTTTTTCTTTGTTTAATTCATGCCAATATGTGCAATCTGTTAGTTTTGTCTGCTAAGAGACATCTCCATCAAAGAAACTTAGTTTGAAATCAGTGTAACAAAAGTTCAATTTAATGGAATGGCCTTGGTCCAGAAAGTTTCAAATGTAATCAGTCTAACAAGAAGCCATGGTTTATTAATTTCCAATATAGTGAGTTTATTTAGGAGATCAAAACAAAAGACCACATACTAGACAGAAATTTGTTGATATTCTGGACTTTATTGAGCATTAGAAATACTCATATCATTATATGCCATACAGAGACACATAAACAAATAGATTAAAGGAAAATGGATTAGAGCATGCTAAATTGCTAATCCAAGCAAAAAAGACTGTCTCTTACAAGTAACTAAGAACACAAGCTAGCCCCTTGGGAGTATTTATCGTTTAAGAGCTTCTACTCTAATCCAATTACCAGATGAGCTATTAAAGAAGGATTGTAACTTGTAAGGGCACTGGGAACTCAAAATGTCTCCTGGCTATGCTGAGAAGAAACAAAAATCTCAAGCCAAAGATTTACTACCATTTAATCAGTTTGGACCAGTCGGTTTCCTGGTAAGATAAGTCATCAGTTAAATTTACAGGTAAAGACATATAGGTAGCAAACACATTCCCTTTGCTTTCTTACCCGATAAGTTTAGAATAATCCACATATGATGCAAATTCAATAAGAAAAAACCTACAGAATTCTTCACCATCAGCAATTATTTGACCAAAGCCTAATACTTGTAACAAAGGAGGAAAAAAACTGCAATCTATTCATGCAACCTCATACTTACAAAACAAGGATGCAGAGATACAGCCTTGGATAGAACAAACTCCAATTTAATGTAACTAAGATTCCAAGGTTTACTAACGGTACAAGTGCCTTTTAAGTTATAGAGGTGGACAACTGAAAACCTATATTTGAATGCCAAATCACATTGATTTACTTTGTTGGTAGCCTTCTCCGAATCATTTGCCACAATTTCTAGATCTACCATCATTTATACACTACAGCAGTTCCAGTGAAAAACATGCATCCTGTCATTATCATAGACTCATAATTTTTCTTAATTGTTCCCATCATCAAAGATCACAAACCCACAAATTGAGAAGCCATAACACCATTTTACAGAAGAAATGGAAACCCAATCTCTTCTAAAATCAAGGTAAAGGATCCATAATTGAGTAAAATCTCATTGACCAACCATAATCAGAATAGGAAAACAAACATAGGTCACTTGAATGCTTCTGTTGCTGTTAATCACTTTTGCACTTCACGGTTCTTCTAAAAACAACAATTTGACCTCAACTAACCCAACCATTAGTGCAATCCAAGTTCAAATAAGAAAAGAATTTAGTCTGCTTATATCTAAACTCCAAAGGAACAAGATATTTAAGTTCTTCTACATCCTAGGCTTGTCCAACAACCAAATCTTAAAAACCATGCTCCTAAAAGCGAAGAACTGCATACTGTAAGAAAACCCATGTTAAATTTCAACAAACTTAGTTAATTGGATAACTAGGAAACCCAACCAAAAGGCACCAGACTAAAAAGGTAGCTTCTTTTGCACCCAACAATCCAAACCAACAGAAGCAAAAGTCAAAGTCACGTAAGCAACACAAAATTCATCCATAAAGAGTTCACTGAACACATAGAAGCACAAAAACACCCCACATACAGAAATCGAATAAACAAACATGAGAAGATAAAGAGAGAGGAAACCCACCTTAGCTTGCTATGTTAATGAAGCTGAATTCCTCCACTGACCCAAAAACAGAAAATCCTGAGAGATAACTGGAGGAAAAGAATTTCCCAGAAAGGAAAGGGAAATATGATTCAAATTGAGTAGCCAAGCCTCACCCTTTGGAAAAATAGTAACAGCAACCGAAACCCAGGAATTTTTGCAAGAAAAGATCTCTCCGTTGGTGAAGAATGTGTAAGAATAACAATAATTAGGTATCTAACATGAAAAAAGGATTACGGAAGAAGGACAAGACATCTGGGCTTTCACGTAGACTATGCAAGGATCACGAGAAAGCTCCTTTTTTTTCCATTCTCTTCTTCTTCTTTCTTTCTCTAAGTTTCTCTCTTTCTACATGTCAACTGTGTATGTCTGTGTATTTGCATTACTTTTCACGAAATAGACGGAGAAAATAATGCAATTTGCTGAATTCTTTCTGATTAATTGAATTATATACTATAATTATTTTTTTTTTCTTGGAATTGAATTATTTAAGTAAGAATTTTAAAAGGATTGATTAGAGAAGAGAGAGGACGTGGATACAGCTGTAATCAATACTGCTTTTGGGTTCATTATCCATCACTTTCAGATTAGACATATAAGCTTCACTTTATTCAAATAATAATATTTTACAAAAAGTGTTTTATGATTTTTTTTTTTTTTAATGTTCACAGCGTTTTTTACTTCCGTCAAACCGTAAAAATATTAATCATAAAGCTAAAAAGAATGTTGTGTAAAATTATAAACGGATAATTATAATTATAACGTGCTTTGAATATCTTAAATAATTTAGTAAAAATTTATTTTTATTAAAAATAAAATTTTTTATTTGAGTTGTATAATATAAGAGAAAAGTGAATTAAAAGAGGATTTGAATATCTTAAATAATTTAGTAAAAATTTATTTTTATTAAAAATAAAATTTTTTATTTGAGTTGTATAATATAAGAGAAGAGTGAATTAAAAGAAGATGAGAAAAAATTTATTAT